GTTAAATTTGTAATTCGAATGGAAATGAAGGATTTTTGAGATCAATAAGTATAATTTACCCTATTTGCTAATCAACCCAGTATTAAATATTGATGTATGTTGTGCTAAGTTAAATATACTTGTCATGAAATATGGCTTGTTTCGGATGGATATAATGTTGTAAGCTTGTAACTTGCAAAATGAGTAATTGAGCTATTGTTTGGCCATAGTCATAGGAACATGTTATATTCAAGGGGCATTTACATACATAATACTCAATTCTTATGTACTTATGTATCTCACATTTAAACTTTCACATTCACACACATAACATTCAAAATTTAGCACCACATCAAAAACAACACTATTCCCACTTTTTAAGGGTCTATTTGATGTAGCTGTAACTTATTAATAAGCTGCTACGCAATAGCTGTGGCAGGAAGCTGTTGTGCAGAAGTTGCTGCGGATAAGTTGACAATCTGTTTGTTTTTTACAGTTTAAAAGCAGTTCTGCTGCAACTGTTTCAGGACAAATGATCATTCTACCCATGTATTGTAATATTGTTTATAACAGAACTATTCATACTAGCTCATCCCATGCATAAAACAAATATCCAGTTTGAATATTATAAAATAAAAATAAATATCTCACAAAATAGTGAGTAACACGACTATCAAAATTAAAAAAAAGAACTATTAAAATAACAATCAATAACATAATTTGAATGATTTTTTTTGTGATTCTTTAGAGCCTTATTTTACTCAACGAAGTCCATAAGTTGGTTAAGTTCTTTCTCCGAATTAATTAGATTTGTTAAATTTGTAATTTGAAATGGAAATGAAGGATTTTTGAGATCAATAAGTATAATTTACCCTATTTGCTAATCAACCCAGTATTAAATGTTGATGTATATTGTGCTAAGTTAAATATACTTGTCATGAAATATGGCTTGTTTTGGATGGATATAATGTTATAAGCTTGCAACTTGCAAAATGAGTACTTGAGCAATTGTTTGGCCATAGTCATAGGAACATGTCATATTCAAGGGGCATTTACATACATAATACTCAATTCTTATGTACTTGTGTATCTCACATCTAAACTTTCACATTCACACACATAACATTCAAAATTTAGCACCACATCAAAAACAACACTATTCCCACTTTTTAAGGGTCTATTTGAGGTAGCTGCAACTTATTAATAAGCTGCTACGCAATAACTTATCTGCAGAAGTTGCTGCGGATAAGTTGACCGTCTGTTTGTTTTTTACAGTTTAAAAACAGTTGTGTTGCAACTGTTTCAGGACAAATGATCATTCTACTCATGCATTGTAATATTGTTTATAACAGAGTTATTCATACTAGCTCATTCCATGCTTAAATACAAATATCCAGTTTGAATATTAGAAATTAAAAATAAATATCTCACAAAACAATGAGTAACACGACTATCAAAATTAAAAAAAGAACTATTAAAATAACAATTAATAATATGATAATATTATTTTTAAAACGCAGCTGGTGTATGTCCAGAGATAAGTCATTTTTCAAGGAAACTTTCCACGCCCGATCATACTCAGCAATGGAATCCTCCAGCCCACCTGCCGACCTAAAGAAGTCACAATTTTTTGTTTTCTTTTTACACCTGTAAAACTGTCTATCGTAGCTATGTGACTGCCTCGAAGTAAGCAAGAAACATTGTAATCTGCAGTAGCAGCACAATCCTCTGGAGATACCGAAAATCCTCGAGCTCAGATTTTTTGAAGACTTAAAAACATATGATGTTAGATATAATACTAATAAAAATTAATAAGAGAAGTAATAATTTAAGTTTTATGCAATAGTGAGATGTTAGAGAGATCAGTATACTGACGAATCTGTCATTCAAGAATTCAATAGACCTTATAAAAATCGTTTTTGGTTGCCTTTAATCTACGTAATACCGAACTCGTGTGTGTCATATATGTATATCATAAAAAAAAAAGGTCATCCAAAAGAACATAAAAAATTATAATAATGAATAAAGAGAGGAATTTGCTTGCATTCATCAGGATTTCACATGTGACACCAACTAATAGAGACATATAGACTATCCGGACGAAACATAAAGTCAAACGTCTCATCATAGACCTCCAAAAAAAAATGCAATATTTATGATACATATATTATCCATAGTTGCCTCATCGACCATTTAAGTGGGAGAAAAATGCATGCAAAAAGAAAAATACATATTATTTGTATAAAAAACTGATACAATAAACATCAAATGTTCCTGTATAAAATACAGATATAACAAATAGTGAATGTTTTCAACTACAATTACAAAAAAAGAAATAAAAAGTAATGTTCCCTTTAATTAACTTCCAATCATTGCATCCGTAATTTGTTTCCTCAATTCGACCATCTTGCTTGCATCTTTTTCATCTTGAGTGCATGTCTGAGTATATCATTTTCGGGCTGTGACAAAGGCTGTCTAATACGACATTCATATGCCTCAGCACAAATATATAAATGATTCCCATACATCGTAAGAAATCAATATCGTTGTGGGAAGAATGCCGCTGAATAAAACTGTGAAGGGCAATCGTGACAATCACAATCTACATCAGTTTGAGAAACGTATAAGCCGACATATCGCAAAGTATAACTCATTTCTTATTATAAAATTCAAATGTTCTCTCAATGACACCGCGTGAGTGTCATTTGTTGAGCATTTTTCGTATGTCTCACGTGACTTTGCTGGCTCTCTCAAAGTTATGTATGTTGTATCTTGTATCAGGATGTCTTCAGATAGTCTCAATGTAATAGATACCCAACATTGATCAAATAATATTTATTTGATGTAAATAAAATGATTAATGTAATAGTAAAAAAAAGTGATTGGTTTAGTTTTGTGTGAATCTGTGGGTGGATGCGAGAAGTTGTATTTCCTATTCCGTGTTATAAATTTGAACATTCGAATGTCATGTGCACTGCCCTTCCAACCGGCTATGACAGAACGAAACATATGTTGAAGTTACATACAACAATGACATTTTGCCTCGGTAACCTACAACGACCGATGAATGCTATTTTCTCATTATTTGGAATACGTGTATCCACGTGTGTCTCATCGATTGTTTTAATACAATTTTAAAAAGATAGACAAGAGTTACTGAATTACCATATTCATTTAAAAATTGAATGTAATAAATAAGAGAAATATTTGAAAATATGAGATATATCACACATTGTGCAAAATTTCTGTGGGGATCCGTTGAAATGTAGGATAAGCTGACTTTATGACTCGTGATGAAAAACTGACAAGTGCATTTAACTATACTGAGAAATATTTATAAATTATTTCGGAATAGTGCTGGAATCGCTCCATAGCTCATCACATTGATTCATTCTGTGATAATATGTGAGTTTATTGCTAATACTTGTCGTGAAGTCGTCCGGGTAGAGTCATGAAGTTCATGATTTATGTGTAGTTTCTCTAACAAATCAGTGAATGCCGTTCGTGTCATGCGGTACATATTGCTAAATCTTGTTGGGTGACCCGCAAACAACTCTCCAACCCATTTGTCTCCAACATACAAGGATGTCGTATAAGGAGAGCGTACGAGTTGTAATGCTTATACATCAAACACATTGCAACCGCAACTTTTCTTCCGCGCCTTTCTCTATTTGCATTTATGTAATTCAATGTCAAAGTAGCTAACATATAAGCATCAACAAATTAATTACAATCATATAATGTTATGAACCAACACAACTTCAATATAAAATTGGAGAAGTAAATAGAGAACATAACCATAAAAAATAATATTGCAAATCAAATTTAACATCTCAATGAAAAAGAGTAAAAAAAACAAAAAACAAATAAAATTGTTTAGTGCACGAGGAAAAATGTAAAATGTCCCACAAGAATATCAAAAAAATGATGTGTACCACAAGTGTCACTGTTCGCATTAAAATAACGTAAATAATGCACACCATATGGTCACGGGTCATCGTGATGAAAAATTCTTTTCGGTCGGATCTTCTAACAACTTCATAGAAAACATATATAACATTATGTTCTCATAAATTTCTGGAGTTGCCTCTAGAATGCGCATAACCTGCTGGACAGAAGTTGCTTGTGATGGGTCGGGGCCATTGGTGCATAATGCGACCAACTGTGAAATCTGGCTTCTAATGAAAACAATTCCATCTTTTGTATTTTTCTTAACCCTGTGCCGCTTTGATCGGCTAGTGGATTCCACCTCGTTGAGGTTTGAACTAGGGTCTTCATTACAATCACTTCTTTGTTCAACTGTTAAATTTTCAGGGATGCCACCAAACCGCACCTCACTGGGGGCACATGTTTTATTGCCTGTTGCCACAACACACCAACGCCTCCACAACACCACCATTACCACCTACACACACCAACATCTCCACACAAACAACCACACCAACCACCACCTCCACACATCCACTAATACTTCCTCTAATACAAACACAACCACAAACCAACCACCACCTCCTCCACACATCCACCAACACATCCTCTAACACAAACACAACCACACACCAACAACCGCCTCACACATCCACCAACACCTTCTTTAACACAAACACAACCACCCACCAACCACCCACCACCTCGACACACACCAACCACTACCTCTACATTCACAACATTGCTACCCTCTTTCAATCATTTTTCAAATTCCCTGTCAAACATCAAAGGTAAAAATAAAACAACACCTCATATTTTTCATTTGATGCAATTACATACAGGGCACCCGAAATATTGTTATGAACAAATCAAGCACTCTCTTTCAACATTTTTTCAAATTTTCTGCCTAACGTTAAAGATAAAGATAAAACCTCAACCCATATTTTTCATTTGTTGCAATTCCATACGAGGCCCTAGAACATTGTTATCAACAAATCAAGCACCCCATTTCAACCGTTTTTTATATTCTCTTTCAAACATCAAAAGTTACGATAAAACTCATCCCAATTTTATCATTTGATGCAGTTACATACATGACACGCAAAACATTGCTATCAGCAAATCAGGCACAATGTTTCAGCCATTTCTCAAATTCTCACTCAAACATCAAAGGCCTGGATAAAAACCCAAGCCATATTTTTCATTTGAGACTAATACATATATGACACCCGAATCGTTGCTATCAACAAATCAAGTACCTCCTTTCAGCCATTTTGCAAATTCACAATCAAACATCAAAGTTAAAGATAAAACCCCATTTCATATCACATTCAACTACAAAATCATAAAATCACAAAATCTAAATTCTAAATCATAAAGAGAAAGCCATAAATCACAACATCCAAATTCTCACTTCAAACTGAGAAAGCCAAAAATAACAAATTCTAAATTCTTACTTCACAAAATCTAAATTCTAAATCATAAAGAGAAAGCCATAAATCGCAACATCCAAATTCTCACTTCAAACTGAGAAAGCCAAAAGTAACAAATTCTAAATTCTCACTTCAAACTGCAAATGAGAAAGCCACAAATCGCAAAAAGAAAGTCCTTACATCGAAAAAAATAGGTGATACCGTGGGAGGACAGAGAACACAGTAAACAGACAGAGAGCTGGAGATTGTAGGGAAGAGAGAAAGGAGAGAGACAACCCGTTCCCACCACAGATCGGAGGGAAGAGGAAGAGGAGAAAGGCAACCCGTTGCCACCGGAGAGAGGCGAGAGAGAGGAACGATTAAGAGAGACGTGACCTAAGGCAAAAGAAACGTGAGAGAGAGAGGTGAGCGGTGAGAGGGGAGCACCAAGAGGGGCATACGAGTAATAGGTTCGCGACAAATGCGGGCCATGGACCACGTTTAACATACTTTCTTAAGCAACGCTATTGCGCCGCGATTTCCAAATGCCTCATCCAGTATTTTCAAAACGCACAATGCTAAATAAGCTGCTCCAAACGGGCTGTGAAAGTTAAATACACCTATTCATGCATAGGTTAAAAGCACCAATATGTATGTAAATATGAAAGTTTAGGTGTGATATATGTAAAAAATAAGAAATGTGTGCTAGTAGGTATGTAAATTTTCAAATAATGAGTTCCAATAATACAAAACTATTGCCTCCCTCATTCTCGCTCGCCCTTGCCATCGCAAACTCTCATCACCTCCTTGCCTACAAACCACACTTAATGCCCCTACTCTTATTGCTTGAGTTGGCCTCATCACCTTCCCATTTGTGTTGCATGTGCTCACCCTACTTCATTTGCCGGCTCGTGTCACTTACACTCCTCGAACCACTTGACATTCTGGTTTTGTATGCATTTGAAATATGTTATTACAAAAAAAGTCATTTCCAGCCACTTTTTTTGCATTCAATTAAAGAACTCTAGCTTTTCTAAATTGCATGAATTCCATTTCCTCCACAATTCGCATGCATTTTGAAAACATAAAACGAAGCAACTTTATCTCTTTCCATTCTTTAAGAACACATGAGTGTATAAGGAAAGTAGGATGAGTAAACCAACTTATATGTTCAAGCTTTCTTATCTTCTTTGTATCGTCCAGAAACTCAGACATGTAAATGAAAAAAATGTCAATTTACTGACATGTTTCATTTTTTTTCTGTAAATCTTTTAGTATGAAAATCATAAATATTTCCTCGTTTTAATTTAAGATATTTTTTGTACTACATTTGAAAGTTCAAATACTTGCTATGTATCCTATCAACCAATTAAGATTGTCTGAAATTGAGTAGGTGTAAAAGTTTGTCTGGATGGTTTGCAGGCACTAAGCTAATAAAGCTGTAGATGCTGATGCATTTATAAGTTTTTGTGAGTATACGATTTTATTGCATAAATTTCATTTTAAAAAAAACATGCTATGCTGTTCATCATTATTATAGTAAAATTGATTCTACTGTAAGCTGCTTTGTCTTTTTTAACTTGAATTACTATCTTTTTTTTGGGTGCATTTACATACATACCACAAAATTCTTATGTATTTACTTATCTAACACCTAAACTTTAATATTTCGTTCTTAAATCTTTGACATAAAATCAAAGATATCACTTCTACTAACTTTTTAAAATTCATTTGCACTTTTTTATCCATGGGGTTTTTACACCAGCCTTATAAATGAAAATATCAAACCTCAGCTGTTAGATATGTAAATCCAAAAGAATTTTATGGTATGAATGTAAATTTCCCTCTTTTTTTTGCATTGCTTCATTTTTAGACGGATGGAGGGATGGCTAATTATCACTATGAATTGCAAAGTCGTCTGCCATTACAACAACAACAACAAAAACAAAGCCTTAATCCCACTACGTGGGGTCGGCTACATGAATCCTTTTTCTCCATTGCGTCCTATTTAGTGTCATATTTTCATTTAGTTCTAGTAAATTAAGATTATTTTTAATACAATAAGCCTAAGTATTCTTAGGTCTATCTCTGCCTTTCTTAACACAAGTTGAATCTAAAATATCCACTCTCCTAATCGGATCATCAGATGGTCGGCGTTTAATGTGACCAAACCATGTAAGACGACTTTCTCTAAATCAGATGGTCGACGCTTAATTATCACTATGAATAAGCAAAGTCTTCTGCCATTGTTGAAATAAAATCTCATGTTTTTTTCTTATCTCGCAATATAGCTACTCACTTTGGTTATTCAATCGCTTCTAGATACGAGGAAAGGTCTGTGGAGCTGCAGCTGTACAGGGGAATGACACTATATTTCTTGGTAATATTGATAAAAATTGGATGAAAGAAGATGTAAGTCAACTTTTTCTTACTGGAATTCATTCTTGGCAAATTTATGCAAGTAGCTCACAATTCTTATATATATACATATATCACACCTAAACTTTTATATTTACATACATGACACTTTGATGCATTATACCCATGCATGAAAATGTGTATTTTACTTTTAAAAAGTGATAATAGTGCTACTTTTTATGTGATATTAAAAATTTGAGTACTATGTGTGTAAATAAGACAGTTTATGTGTGAGGTATGTAAATACATACGAATTGTGTGCTATGTATGCCCCTTCGTTATTTTAACTGCTGAACTATGCATTGACAATTTGCTTATTTTCTAAGCTAATGTACTTCTTTTGGTGCTTTGGCATGCAGGTCATGAAATTGTTAAAGGAAAACGAAATCGAGAATATTGACACACTTACAGTCGTCATGGACCCGAATAATACCAACTTGAATCGTGGGTTTGCATTTCTAGAACTCAAAACTAACCGTGATGCACAACGCGCTTACAAAAAACTTCAAAGGAATGATATTGTTGGCAAGGGTAGGAGTATCAAAATTGCATGGGCCGATTCCTTCAATATTCCGGACGAAGAGGATATGCTAAAGGTCTCGATGGTCCTACTCATAAATCATTTTCTTGCATCCTATTTTTGTTCTATTTTATATGTTAGCTATACAAATGCATGTTATATTGCGCGTTGGTGTTCACAAATGTATTTTTGTGTCGATGGGTTTGTAGAAGAACTTTGAGCATGAATTTAAAAGCTACTTCGATGCATCTAAATTGTAAACCAATTAGAAATCGATGGAATAGTTCATCAAGGAAATAAATGCTGACTCATTTATGTATATACCGCCCAATTCATATTGTTTTACATATTTACCCCCTAAACTTTTCTTTTTATATTCATACCACCCAAATCTTCATATCACATAAAAAAATACCACTTTTAACTTTCAAACAGTGAAATATACTTTTTGATGCATAGGTAAGATGGTATATATATGTAAAAATTAAAATTTAGATGTTAGATTTGTAAATACGTAGGAATTGAGTGGTATGTATGTAAATCTTCCTTTATTAATCTAATGATTATTTGGTACGTAAGATATCTTCACTTTCTGCTGATGGATTATATTGCGTGATTCAATTTCCTTGTTCATTTTGGACCTATTATTTCTGTTTGAAAAATCATGTGCAAATGATAATGTCACTGGAGAAGATCAATTATAACTTTCTTTTTAGTGGATTCTGAAGGGTGATTAACATGATATACTGAATCACTTCTCACGATTCTTAAACTTGCTTTGGGTTTGCTCACATAATAGAAACTTCGGTTTTGTTGGCTTTAGTTGTTTCGTATGTTTCTATGTTTAATTTCAAGCTTATTTTTATTAAAAACGATATATTTTTAAAAATATTTTCCCAAGAAAAGTATATCCAAAAAATTCTACTCGAACCACATTAGCTTTCAATCTGACGGACTAATAAAAACACTCTCCAAGCATAAGTGTCTTATTGTCTCTCCTTTTTGATTAGTGCACTTAACAATGTACAGCCCCAATAATTTTTTGTATTGGTGTTTTAAGAATGTGCAGCAGTGCTCATTTCGAAATTTAATTTTTTAATAAATTACAAAATCATAACTATTATATTTTTGGACGAGCTTTGATTGCTATAAGCTAAATTTCAGTTGAGTTTTGGCATTTGGGGATATTGACTTAATTTCAATATTTACAGACTGAACCCATTGAAGTTGTCCAAAGCTGAATGAAGCAAAAATTTCTGCCTGTTTTGATTGGTTTATATTGAAATAAATATGGCAATTCAATCAGCATTTTTGTACCCAATTCCTATGCATTTATATATCTAGCACATAGACTTTACTTTTTCATTTATACCTCCTAAATCTTTCATATCACATAAAAAATACCGCCGTTTTAGTTTTTAAAAAGCGAAATACGCCTTTTCATGTATAGGCAAGATAGGTATGCAAAAATTGAAGATTAGGTGTTATATATGTAAATACATCGAAATTGAGTGGTTTGTATGTAAATCTTCCTAAATTTTTTTGGCTGAAACCTAAAATGATGATGCTATATAACAATTTTTTTTTAATTAGTATAATAATTTTTTTTGTTGTATTTTGTTTTTTTTTTTGTATAGGTAAAATCGGTATATGCTGAAGGAGTTCCAGATTTTTTTTTTTTAATTAGTATAATAATTTTTTTTGTCTAGGTAAAATCGGTATATGCTGAAGGAGTTCCAGATTCGTGGAACGAAGATAGGCTTAAGGAGACTTTCAATAAGTACGGGGAGATAGAGCGAATTGTTCTTGGGAGGAACATTAAATCGGCAAAGCGAAGAGATATTGCATTCATTAACTATAAAACCCGAGAAGCTGCTATTTCGTGCATCGAATCTTTCAGTAGTGATGACTTGACTGTCAATGGTTCTAAGGTTGTTTGGTTTATTTATAAACGTTTAGGGGTCGGTTGGAATCATTTTTTTATTTTTATTTAATTTTGTTTATGTTTTGATTTGAAATGAAACTTGTTTGGCTATTTGATTAAAGTATGACTATTTTTAAAAACCCTTGAAACATTTAAAAGTTGCTAAGTGTTTTCAAAAGTATGTTAATTTATTTTTAGAAACGAAAATAAATGGTGCATTTGCATGAATACCATACAATTCTTATGCATTTACATATCTAACAACCCAACTTTCCAATTTACCTGCATAACACTCAAATCTTAAATATCACATAAAAAATACCTCTTTCATCTACTTTTTAAAAGTGGAATGCACCCTTTCATGCATAGGTTTATCACACCAAGGTATTAGACTTGTCAGTATGATAGTCAGGTGTTAGATATGTAAATACATAGAATTGTGTGGTATTTATGTAAACTTCCCAAAATAAAAACATGTAAAATACACACAAAACAAATCTTTTTTTTAAAACACAAATTAAAACAAAATTAATCCCGAAAAAGCCCCGAGTTATTTGAAAGTTCTCTGTCCATTGTAGAATGAGATGCTTCAAGCTGTTTTTTGTTTACCAGGTAAATTTGAAGGTCGCACTTGCAAAACGCGTACAAAAGGCAACTCAAAACAAAGGACAGAAACCTATTATTAATAACTCCTTGAAAGAAACACACAAGCCTGTCCAAGGTGAGTAAACTAGATTATTTTTTTATTAAACTTTTTTTATTGCTACCAAACTTTTTCTTACAATTGTTTTTTTCTTTTCATTATTATTTTAGTTTTGCTTTCAATCTGTTGTTTTAAAATTTAGTCTCTCATTTTTTTCAATATTTGTAAGCGAACCCAAATTTTCTATTTGATTTGAAATTTTGTTTTATGCTGTTTAGTATTGTATACTACTTAGATGGATATTGATTTTGTTTATTGGTTGCATGTTTAGCATAGTTATAGAGGTGCTGGGGTCACCATGTTAGCTCTGATTTCTTGTGATGAATGCTAGGCAAGCTTCTCTAGGTATGACGGGCTAATGATCAATTATCTGCTGTGTGGGCTATACTGTTTGGGGAATTTACATACATATCACACAATTCTTATGAATTTACAAATCTAATACCTAAACATTCATTTTTCCATGCATGCCTCTCAAATCTTTAACATCACATCAAATACACCAACATCACTGCTATTTGAAAGTGAAATACATCTTTTCATGCATAGGTTTATGACACCAATGTGTTATAAATATAAAATTTTGGGCGACATAAGAATTGTGTGGTATGCATGTAAATCTCCCTTAATGTTATTTTCTTTGCATGTGCATTCCTGTATAAATGGTCCATAAAATGCTATTAAGAATAAAGGATGGGCTATGCACATTGAAGAACCTACTTATGTGTCTGTAGTTTATAGAATTTGAATATGATGAGGCTACTTTCTTACCAATATGAATGGATGGTCCAAAAGTAAATGTTGAAAATTATAAAACTATTTCTGTTTGCATAAACATTTTGCTTGAAAGATCTGATGTGCAGAAATGCTAATTCACTTGGTATCACAATGATAAAATTTTACATATTTTGCATAAATATTTGATCAATGAAGAGTTTTGGTTTTGCTCTTTTGGGACGTGGATGCCTACTAAAAATATGAAATATTGATTCCTGAATAGTTAAATCTACTACAAATCATTATTTATAAATTACAAAGAAGGTTAAGCTTAAAAGTAACCACAAAGGTGCTTTGAAAGCATCAAAACATTCAAAAACTGTAATTTATTAAATCAATAGTATACGTTTCTGTTTGATTAATTATCAAATGTTCCTAAATTCCATAAAAATCCTTATGAAATTAGTTTTAATAATATTTAAGAAATAAATGATCTTGACCTCTATATTAGAAGGTCATAACCTTAATATGTAATAACAGAAGAATAATCATTCTACTTCCAGTTTTTGTTATGGAGCTAAGATTTGGGGGTTCTGAGATATCTTGCACTATTATTGCTCAATTGCTAAACCCATTTCGATAATGTTTATGTATCTTGATTTGGGGTGCTTATTTATAATGGATAAGGGGTAATTGTGATTTAAGATTAAAGTTAAGGTTGATTATTGTTATTTGGATTTAATTTAAACTTGAACCAAGCTGATTTTACGCTAATCATTTTTACTATTATAGGGATGAGGAGTTTAAAAATAGATATTCTAAGACGTGCAATATTGAGCTGTCATTATCATCATTATTGACCATATTTCTGCTATTTGGGATTGACATTTTGAATCCTTATATTTTCATTCTATCCTATTAAGAATTGTTTGATAATTTAAATTTATTTGTTGCAATTCATTTTGATAATTTATATCCATATAACATTTGATCTATTCTAATTTTCTTTATAATCATTTACGGTTATTTTACTATATTGCACGTTGCTTCATTGTATATGTTCAAACCAAGTAGGCTATTTTAAAGGGCCTTATCTTTAATATATGTCACTTACCTTTCCTTTGATATGTTAATTAAGTTATTCTTTCTTGTTTTATCATGTCTCCATTTTAATATTCTTATTTCTGTCACACTCTAGTTAGATTTTAACATCTTCTTTAATAGCTTAAGTTCCAAGCCAAACAATATTGATTTCTTAATTATATTTTTATTAAATTTACTGTTTATCCTCCATAGTACCTTTTTATCACACAAAAATCATTAGGGATTTCACCATATTAACTATTCTACCTTAATTCTAGAAGTTATTGTCTCATATTTATCTCCATTCTTGTATATAATATTTGCATGATGCTTAAATCTATCACACCTAGTTGTTATCTTATTTTTTAATAATACTATATTATATATGTTAACATTATACCATCAAAATTGCATATCATACACTTCATTTCTACTAATTTAGGACTTCTTTTTTTTTAAAATTTCCTTGATTGCTCTAATTTTTCACGTAATTTATTTAATGTATTACTAATTATAATATGTAGCATGTAAAAAACATACATGAAGATATCTTTCTTCAAATATTTTTGTATCTCCATAACTAATATCAAAAGATATTTACTCATTGCTACTACCATAAACTAAATAATAATATCTAATGATTAGCCCTAATTAAAGTTTTATTGTGTCATTAGGAGGGGTATTTGACATTAGGATTTGCATTTATAGGACACCTAAACTCAAATCTTAAGTTCTTAAAATGTGGGTGGAATATATTGGCAGTTTTTTTATCTAAAATCTAACCTACATTCTGAAAATTTAACTTGAAAAATTGAACTCCCTATTGATAGGTGGATGCAAATTTTTTGGAGCCATTAAATAACACCCACAACCATAAGATAACATTGGCTGTTGGCACTGGTATTTTGTTTTGCCTTAGGGATGTTGTGTCCCATAAAAGTTAGATTACATTTATTAACAATTTTTTTTTGGAATTGCAATGTGTTTCCATGGTAATTGCTCTTCTTATTTTGGATAAATTTTGGCTTTATGAATTGTTATTCATTTTGGGATTTTGCGCAATTGAAAATAGAAACATATTTTAAAAAGATACAATGCTTAAGAGTAATTGCTAGCGTGCAAAGAAGTTTTATGCTTCTATGGGCTTCGATTGAGACTCATGCGGCCCTGGAAGAGAGTGAACTAATGCTTAAGGATTATGGCTTACCACCTAAACTAATGCAAACATGACAACGAGACTTATAACTTAGTCCCACCTAGGCCTAAGAAAACCTACACTCGGACTTACAATCCTTCCTGGAAGGGACTGCCAGCTAGACTCCCCTAATCACTTAAAATCATGCTGTTCGGTCTCCATGCAATGCATGATAGATTGGGCTATTATTTATTAGAGAGAGGAATGTAAGACTTATGAAATCAAGTTGCCTATATATATGACTCGTGTGCAATGCTTCTATCTAATGCAAAATTAACTTACAATTTCAAATTTATAAATAATTATCCTATCCACACAAATATATTAAGGTTGTTCATATTTTAGTGTTTAATGTCTTATTAGCTTGTGTAAGAGTATGCAGTCTTTAATGATACATGCGTGAAAGATCTTAAAGTCAATTCGAGCGTGTAAGACAAACTTCACTATAGAAGGGCGGTGATTATCGCTAGTCTTATCACCCATTTCCATCCTGAGGACATGAAATAGGATGTATTTATTATGTGATGCATATGATTTTTGCACAATCAACTAGTCGATATAGGATTTCTACATAATTTTTTTAATATGATTTTACATGTAATGGAATTTTAATGTGTAAATGCAATCATTTTATTTTTTTATTTTTTATTTTGTTGAGTTTAATTTTTAAAAAAACTAGATTAAAGTTAGGTTGAAATTTTACTTGAGGGCCTATCACACATAATTCGAGCTAAGAGCACACCACAAATAACTCTAGAAAATCATGCAATTTTTAATCGTGAACCAAAAAAAAAGATGTTCGAAACAAACCAAACCAAAATAATAGAACTAGAAAAGGTTTGTGTGGCCGGGTACCACTATACACCCTAGAAGAAAGAGAAACGTGGGATATCAAAGCATCTACTTCTTATACAACCCGACCTAGACCTGGGGCATGCTCGGTGGTTGGCTAGACTTTATAGGTGTCTTCAGTTCGTGTACTGGTACATTTGTAACTCATCCCCGCTCCGTTGTCATGTTGAAGTTCTTTCTCACTCCGTTGTCATGTTGAAGTTCTTTCTCACTCAGTTGTCATGTTGATGCTAATTCGCTCCGTCGTTGTGTTGAGGTTCATTCTCACTTCATTGTCTTGTCGATGTTCATCGCGTTCCGTCGTTGTGTTAATGTTCATCCTAGCTCCGTCGTTGAATATGCCCCACTTCAGACCACCCCAAAATTCATAGCCAACCAACAACAAATGAGAGTCACCTAATTCTACAACAGACTCATTAACAAGAAAATAAACCCCTAGTTTACCAGAGCCCCTGTAGAAAAAAAGATTAGTAGCAAGTAACACACCACAAACACAGAAATATCACATTAAACTACAAAGATCCAACATTGCACTGTAACATCAGGCCTTGTATCCTATTTGACTGTGCTTAGGGCATCATTTTTAGTACCTGCAAAAAAAGACATCGGAATTTATGTATATATAGTGTGTGTGTGTTACAATTTTTGATGATATTAGTGACTATTTATGAAAATTGAAGAAACATAAATAAAAGATTCATTCCAAATTAATCTTGGGTAATAATTTATGTGTTATGACAACCCATCTCAATATGACGAGTTGCATCGAGTTGGGTTATGACAGAATTTTTGGTATTAGAGCAATAGATTTGGAAGAATTAATTTATAACAATAGTCATAAGATTGATTAGTAGATGGGTGAGAGAGTTTTGGGTAGTTTATGATTATTTTTTTTTCTACCTTTTCATTCATGTATGTTATATTAAGTTATTGTATGTGCATGTCGGGTATAAATATTTGGTAATTATGAATCCCTAAGATCAGGATGTGACAAATGAACAGATTTTCTGTTTAGTTGAGACAATACTAAGTGTAATGATATTATTCTATCAGATTCTATGGCTCATATTACTAGTTTGATGGCTAGTCATGCTTGTATGTGTGATATTTAGATATCAAATAAAAAGTTGGAGCTTGAGTTAATTGTATTATTTGAGATAAAAAGTTGGAG